ACAGTGTGGGAAGTCTAGGAAGAGATGGAGAAGAATCTGTGGTTGAGAACGTTCAAGTGATTGATTGCACTTTCAATAGGACTGATAATGGAGCTAGAATTAAGACGTGGCCGGTAATGATTTTTGGTAATTAGTTTTTTTCTATATGAAAATTAATAATGATGTGATATAATTAGTTTTTTCTATACATTTTTTTTTTTGATTTGTTTCTTTGATCTTTTAAGAATGGAAAAGGATATGCAAAAAATATAGTTTTTAAGGGGATCAAACTCACAGAAACACAAAATCCGATTATAATCAACCAAAAGTATGTAGATAAGGGACGTCTTGACGTGGAGGTAAATTATCTAAAGATATTTTTTTCCTTAAGACATTAAAATTCTAAAACCATAATTATGTTTGGTTTTTACTGGTTGTATATTTTGGGTTTACTAGGAATCAGCAGTGGCAATTAGCAATGTGACATTCACAGATATTTGTGGAACATCACGAGGCGATGAGATTGTAAAACTAGATTGCAGTGAAGTCACATATTGCAAAGACATCGTTCTAGAACATATCGACATTTCTACGGTCGATGGAAAAAAGCCCTTAGTTGAATGCACTAACGTCTATGGAAAGTCGAGCAATGCTAGCGAAATCGAAGGTTGTTTCACGGGATAGTTATCCGCTTTTATGTAAGAATATATGTGAGAAAGAAATTTAATAAATTCCTATGTTGGAAATAATTTTATATGATGAATGTCAAAACATATTATCGACTGTTTTTTTGTCAGCTATTATCGGTTGTTATGTATTCATGATTGAATAAAATAATTTCATACTTTAGGTCATCTCGGTGTGCTTATGGTGGTTGATGAGGACATGTTACAACAATATTTTACGAAAACGTATATATGGATTACACAAGATCTCCAAATGTAACCAAATTGGCCAAACACGTATACATCATAGACTTTGATAACGGAAAAAGCCAATTGGTGTACAACAAAATATAAATCTTGAACATTCCCAAAAAACTCGGTTAATATTTAGAGAAATTTTGAGAAATACCATTTTTGAAATGCCACTTTTTTAAAAATATCATTTTTTCAAAATCTTTGTAAAAATGCCATTTTCAAAATTATTTATTCATTATATTATTTATGTTTGGGTTAATTCTGTTTTATTAGGGTTTAGTTTTGAAGGTTTCGGGTTTGTTAGAGATCAAAACATT